TTTCCGTTTTTCTTATATGGTATCTATTTTACAACAATCGAATATGAGCTATCCAATTTATCGGTTGCCCTTTTCCTTTTATGTAAGAAGAAATGACATTCAGGTGTAGTAATACTACTTCCGATCGCTGCAGCCGAAATTTTACTCGACTACGACGTATATTAGTCTAGATAAAATAACACAAAGTTGTACAAGTACTAGTTATCTTTCTGTAACAATTACTTAGTAGATATCAGTGGCGGACATTTTTGGGGGTCCTGAAGATTGAACTGTTATGGATTTGCCCTTGCAACCGAGAACGAGGTCTGGGTAACTGCTGTTATATCTTCTTCATGCGGGGCTGTTCCGTGACAAAAGAAACAATACTCAAGCTTAACTCAATAGGAACTGAATTCCTGACACGCTTTACTTGGGTTATTACCAAGACTCACAGTAGCTATTCAGTAACGGTCCCATAACATATAGGACACTTCCGGGATTAGTGGCTTTATTTATGGTTTCACGGATATAATTCACTGTTTTCATAAAGTTGCAGTCGATGAACGGTGTTTTGAGTTTAGTTACCTAGGGCCATATAAAAATGAACCCAAAAGTCCTGAATAAATATTATGAGAGTTTGTTCAGAAAATAAATATTAGGGTGTTTTCAAAAGAGAGTGCTTGTTCAGAAATTAATATGGGAGTGTGTTCAGAACATTAATATAAAGTAACTAAGCTCTAATCGCTGGGGTGGTCTTTGCGTTGCGGGAGTAAGGTTCATCCATAAATTTTCAATTCACTCCATACGATCGTTTCCTGGTCTACCCGTCCAGGTTGTGATGTAGCGTATCTAATGTCGATAGTTGAAGCCAAAGAAAGAAAGAAACATTATTAAACAAGCTAATTTTTATCCAATCACTAATCGAAATACAAGTAACACATTAATTAGATTAACTAAATTCAGTACTGTATCCTGGCTAAAATTGAAGAGATTCAGCTCCTTTAGGTCATTTTAGTTCGTATATAGGCAGTCGATGTCTACGACACTAACCTCGAAAATCATATGGAATAGCTGTTTTTTTATTCATTTTTCAAGCCTGGTTTCCACTTGTCAAGGGTAGTGCCTACGGGGCTGACCGATAGGGTTCAAAAGTCGTACGGGTTGAACAAAAAATCGAGGTGCACATAACGGAACTCCTTTGTCAGTTGGAAATCAAATCCACCCATGTCATGCAAAATTCTAATGACGGGTATTGCACGAGTGGCCATGAAAATATAAGAGTATGTAAGTCTGGAAATACGCGAAGTATTGTGTTGATAAGAAGTTCAACTTCATTCTTTTCCTTCCCACTCTCAATTTTCATGTGAAAATGAAATGCAGGAATGATATGGATTGTGGGAATAATAAACATTACCGTAATCGAAAAACAAAAACTATAAAATGTATTTTGTAAATATATATAGAAGTATATATAATATATTTTCATGTGAAAATGAAATGCACGATGCTATGGACTGTGGGAATAATAAACATTGCCATAATCAAAGAACAAAAACTATAAAATGTAATTTGTAAATATATAGAAGTATATATATCCCTATAATATATAAATAATACAATTAATAACATTTACAATAATCTGGTGGACAAACTTCATGACAATTAATACGACACCATTCTGTGATTAGAGTATATTTAGTTCTAGCCCAGATACCAACGGCTACACAATTCATCGATTTAGGTATTTGGGACGCTGGAGCTTTCACGACATCATTCTTCATAACGACCGGGTTGGATGGACAGTTGTTTGTAATGGCTATATCAGCACAGTTTATAAAAGTTTCTTGTGAACCGTGCCCAAGACGACATTTACCATTGAAGCATCCCCAGTTATTTCCTGAGAAAAAAAAATATAAACTTATTAAATTAAACTGTGCAAAATCAGTTTCATTAATTCCCCTAGCAAAACCCCTTGAGTTTTATAAATTCTCGCAGCAAATTCAGTTTAGTTTAAAATCCTTTCTGCAATATCAGTTTAGTTTAAAATCCTCCTAGCAAAATCAGTTTCGTTAATTTTCCCAGCAAAATAATAACAGTTGGGTTCTAAAATCTGTAAAATGGTTACGAACACAAGGGCTGTAGCCGCAACAGAATTGTGACCACTTACACCCTACTCCTGTTTGTTTTTTTTTATGTTTATTTATACTGAGATAGTCATTAGTATAACCATCAGTATACCCACCAACTTAGTGATATTTAGTCCTCTGGAAAATGTTCGGTATTCATTACCACGCCTATTATGCACCCACGTCAGCAATAGTGCGTTTTCAAAAAATTTGATTGGAATTATTAAACTGTCGTCACAGGTCCAGAACACGTATTTCTTTAGCATGGCGTTAGATTTGAAATAAAATAACATGAAGTTTTATTTAGTTTGGTAGGAGTATAAAGGGGCTTGACAATGTTTAGATATTTGAACTTACCTGTTGTATAACTCCACTGTAAAACACACTGAGAACATTTAATATTATCTGGTAGTTTAACTTGAAGATTAACCACGAGCATTAAGGCGGTAATAGGAAACCTGGTACCGTATACACGACCGTTCTTGTCTCTAATTGTTAAAACGTTGGAATCTAGACAGGTCTGGTTGACTGGGTGTTTAATATTATTATTTGCACATAGTTTAAACTGAAAATAACCTAAGTGATTAGCGGTTATCTCCACTTTGACATCTATCCACAGAGTACCAGGTTTATAGCAACGCCCGATGATACCTTGAGCGTATTTACCAGGTGGTTGATGAAATTGGTGACTACCATAACTATCACCACATACACCACATTTTCCATTATATTGTCCGTGTTGAGTCTGTAAATAAAAATGGCACCGTATATTTGTAAAATGAACAGTGACAATTTATTTCTGAAATGGGTTTTTGTGATGTATATTGATTCCCGCATATACGGCAATGTCGAAATTTTAAATTAAAATCGGAGGGAAAACAATATGAGCGAGAATAATAATTTTGATTTTAATAGCGACATATTTTAAATACTAAACGATTGTTAAACTGCAGGGAATAGTTTAACTTCTGAATCTTGTTCGTGCTGTCATAGTGTCAACTGTAAATGACGGAAATTTATTATAAGAGGGTGGTTAAATTCTTCTGTACAACAAATTTCTGCAAAGTTTGAAATGAACTCATCAACAACAATTCTCTGTAATTGCTTTAAATGGATGGTAACTGTTTGAGTTTCGATAGGCTGATTTTTTTTTATCTTTCTTGATACTATTATACTAAGCAAAGTCAAATTATACCGTTAATTTTCTCTTTGGCAAAGAGAAAAAAAGATTTAACCAAGGAAACAGTAGGCCATTCCGTATATTCTATTCCACCTTTATACATGATAAGTGGGTGTATTTTTATTAACTTACCGAAAAACCTCCACAATTGAGCTCATTGTCGTCTCTATTAATAAGGGAACTTAATCCTTCTCTCCATAAACTTGATCTCTGTGGTGGTATTCTTAATCTAGCATGTCCATAAACTAAGGTACATAAGGGCAAAAACGCTAATCCGATTACAGCAATAAAACTACACATCCTGATTTCTTCAAAAATATCCTACAACAGATTCGTTAAACGGGTTCTTCTTGACTTGTCCAGTCGCAGTTTACATCGTCAACTGCTTTAGATTTCTCTTACTTGCCGAAGGACACTGATTTAAAGTACTACATTCACGTGTGGTATCTGCTTAATTGAAAACCGGGAGACAAATGGATAAATTTCAGATACCCCCCTGGTTATTAAAATGTTTTCCAAGCTGTGAATGAATCCAGTTATATATACATATCTATATTCTTATTTTTTAAAGATAACATTAAAAGATTTATCGATATGGATAGTAAGTTCAATTCCTAATACGTTGGCATTCTTCGCTTTCTAGTTTATGAGCTACATAGTTTGAGAGACGCGATAGGTGTTAATCTATGCATGAACAAGATATATTGTTGATAACCTCGCTGTAATAGTAGTTATTGTATTGTTAGTAAAAGAATCGAAGATTAAAAATCGCCTGGGGTTGTTTATGGTTATCATGTATCGTGCTTATCTGACACCTTGCTAAATCCCGCCCTACGTGTGAACCCTGGGGGTTAAAGATAATCAAATATGCACAGGGCATTGGACATTTCTTTATCTAGATATGAGAAGAATCAAATGAATTTCTGGAAAAGTTATCAGGGCTTTTAATATAAGAGATCTAATCTAAAGACGATGCAGAAGAAAATAAATAAGAGATTTTGTTGAATGCATGCCAATGCTATTGCTCAATTGTTGTCAAAAATGTATGGAGCAATTTCATTCTAAGTTTCGTTAACTACCAAGTTAAGCAAGCGCCCCTTTGCTATACGACGTGTAGTAAAGGGATCAAATCAAAGAATTACCCGACCCTCCAATTTCTATAAATCATGACCTTTTTATTTGCTGTATACAGTGGTACGATACAATTGGTTTCCGAGAAGGCATGTTGCCAGAAGACTGGCTGAAGACGAGCCGTTGTCGAAGATCAAAACTATCCAAATTCCTAACATAGCTCCCAGTATATCATGATCGTGCTTAACAGATTTGGTTCCAATCCCTTAAAATATTAAACAAGCAATAAACAATACTGTTGATAAAAACATTTTGTAGCTTTTCTTACGGATATCGTCCACGTTTAGGGTTACTCTTTCTATTTAAAATGGCTCTGCCAAAGTTGTTGTTCCTGGGTTGTGACTATTGATTAAATGATATTATGCTGTTGAACTCACTCTAGGTTTTTTTTAACACAAATGGGATTTGGGGCGTTAAACGCATTAATATGCTACAATCGCGATGGGCGTACTCTTGGATCACGTATCCCGAATTTTAACATTGTATATTCAGATGCAATTTAAAATCATCACAATATAAAACACTGACATTATATTTTAGGTGTTTTAATTAAATATATTTATATTCATCACAGATGTGCCGATACATAATGGATCCTTCTCATTTATTTACAATAATTAATCAATGAAGTTTTGCGTCAATAAACATACAAACAAGAACAATCATCATATTCCCTAAGCAGTGGTTAGGAGCATGTTGAGTTCAATTACCATTACTACACCAGAGGTTGCTATAGCCCATTTGATTAGTCGGCCAGATAACCCAGTTTATCAATGCAAAAAATAACTCATAATAATGACAATAAATTGTGATCGTTACCATTGCTTCGAGAATATGAACAATATTAACAGAGACATTTTGATAAATATTATTTGGTGGAAAGGATAGAATTGTTACTTCTTTGTATTTTTGTTAATGGCATTTTTCTACGGAACAAAGCTCGACAGAAATCCTTGAGTCGTTCATTAATAGGATCAACTTTACTCGCTTCTTCTTCATCTCCATTCAATATTCTTTTAATCAAGGTCTTTATTGTGTCCGACTCCGTCATTGGTTTAGTAGCAATTGGTTTAAAAGCTCTACTACATGCCACTCGGAATACATCTTTACCAGTAATGGGTTTAAATAAAGGACCTGTAAAATAACCATAATAACACAATGTACACAGAACATAATATCTGATAATCAAACATCAAAGGAAAACGTCTTCGCGTCTAGCCGTGTTTGATAAACTGCTTACGTGAGTACATGACAAAGTAGTTCAGACCACGTGAACCTTTTGACCAATCAAATCGTCGTTTCGTGTATACCGTGATTGTAGTGGATTATGGGAAAGAGTATATGGGAATGATTCTGGTGTGGTTTAGGTTTAAAGGACAATATTGGTGTCAGTCATTATAAAATATGTGATAGAGCTCGTTAAATACATCCCAAATATAATTTTAACACAGAGATCATTGCTACGATAGCTGAGAAACAAGCACGTGAAGAAACGGGAAGTGACGTCAAACATGACAAACACGAGTTGTCTTTCTTTATATAACACACTGGATTAACGAGCGGTAACAGACAAACGATCGAATTTCATTTCACTGATAATTCAGTTGAAGATGAAAAGTTGTTATACGAGACGATGAGAGGATATCTGACAATTCAAAAAAAGAATTGGCTGCCAGTAGATAAAAGATAACGAACAAATTAGAAAAAGTCCGTGCATTACCATGTTTTTATTAAGAACAGAATGAATAAAAACGGGGGAATGCACGGGATTTTTCTATTTTTCTCGTGTCCCTTATGTAGTGACAGCCAATTCTATTTTTGAATCGTGAGATACCCTCCCACCGTCCCATATAATAACTTTTCTACTTCAATGGAATTATCAGTGAAGTGAACTTCGATTGTTTGTCTGTTACCGCTCGTTACTTCAGTCTGTTATATAGAAAGACAACTCGTGTTTGGACTAAGACTAGTAATTGTTTCCCCTTATTTCATGATGGACGAATGTAGTGCGAGTTATAAATAGACAATTTTTCCCTTAATTTTTTTCTCCCCTCTTCCTGCATTTTTGGGTTGACTTTTTGGTCTAGAATAGGAGAAAAGGGATCAAATTTGATATTTTATAGCAGTTTTGGGTAATACTGATGATATTACAGCGGAGTGATAGGGGGTGTAAAATGTCTTTCTGCCGCGCAATCATTGTATCGGAAGTGAGATTTTCACCCCAGTCAACTTCAAATCCCGGTAGCAAAAAATCTAAACGGTCAACCCCCTACAAGTTTATGATGAGGAGATTGCCAAATGTGGTCCCCATTGTGCCTATAAAGATTGGAACCAACGGAATGTTGAGCAAAAAGCTACAGCCTGTGATGTTACAGCCATTTAACATTGAAGTCAATGGGCAAATAATTACTAGTCTGAGACCGTTTGTCATGTTTGACGTCACTTCCCGTTTCTTCACGTGCTTGTTTCTCAGCTATCGTAGCAATGATCTCTGTGTTAAAATTATATTTGGGGTGTATTTAACGAACTCTATCACATATTTTAAAATGACTGACACCAATATTGCCCTTTAAAAGCATTTGAAATACAGTTGGCAGATCACCGTGATGATACGCCTATATTGGTGACATTTCAATCTCAAAAGTCTGCAAAAACATAAACGAAACGAAATGTCAACTTCCAAAATGAATAAGAAGTTAAATCCAGCTTAATAAAAAGTGAAGGCACATTGCTTTGTGAACAACACTAATCACTACCGTGTACAGTATTACTTACCTGATGGCATTTGCGATGAATTGTTAGAAGACAGATGCCCAGGCCATGTGGCAATGGCGTCACACAAGTCAATTAAGCGTTCTCCAAGTTTTGGTCTCCCTAATTCAACATTGTCATCATCGTCTTCTGTTGTTTCGATATGATCAATGGGAACAATATCATCATCTTCGTCTATATCATCTGTCAATTTCAAAAGCAGGCGAACTTGTCTGTCTAGAGACATCCCATCTCTTGATTGAGCACCCTGCATGACACTTTTCAGTCCTTGGCAGCCAAAATTCAACAGCAGACTTGGAGTTACCGGCACTTTAAATGCGTTTCTGATATCTGAAATAAAAACATGCCAGATTTATCAAGCTATCTACAGAAAGGGAAATGTCTTTCTTTTAAAGGCATATCTCTCATTATAGATGGAAAATCTTAAAGTTTAACTCCTCGTCTAGACAACACTTACGTTAATTCTAACCGAGGAATGATAATTGAGACTCCAGTTTACAACGCTCTTAAACACACATGTTCTCGTGTGGCCATATGAATGATTTTTTCAACCGCTGATTTGATAAATTTTATCGTTTCATTCAACTGAAACGTCGAGGACAATCCCAAGCACATTTTCATCTGTGAAAGATCGGCTAACACTCTAATTGATCAACTGGACAGTGGCAATTTATTTTGTTAAAGTATATTTATTTTTGGGATGTGTAAATTACAATGTGTCCCAGATTACTTTTCCATCTTGTTTTATCATGAATTAACAGCCCTTTTAATGGGCACGTATCTGTTAGACAAACGTATGTTTGGAAACTGGACATTACAACATCATAATATTTACATTCAAGCAATAGTCATACCTTTATATTCCTTTGTCTTTAGTAAGGATGTTTGTGGGTCTGTTTCTACACCTTGACATATTGTCTTTAATTTAGTTAAAACAGAACGCTTCGGCGTATCTGCTTCTTCTTCCCCAAACACATTTAATAAAGCACGTACCTAGAAATATAAAAAAGGATAAATTAATCATTTTATGTAATCCGATAAAATAGTCTAAATTTTAAAGTAAATAATCCGCCTAATGTCAAGATATAAAAGAGAATAAAAGCATAACGGAGTGTGTAGACTTATCAAACAAACGAGACGTGCACTTTATACAATATTTGAACAAACATAAAGCTTATATATTGGTGTTATAATGTGTAAAATTGGTGTAGCAGAGTGTAACATCGGTGTTGCATAGTGTAAAATGTAAAATTTATGTGGTAAAGTGTAAAACTGGTGTTGTAGAGTGTAACATTGGTGTCGTAAAATATAAATGTTTTAGTGTTTAAATGGTGTTGTAGAGTGTAAAATTGGCGTAGTAGAGTGTAACATTGGTGTTGTATAGTGTAAAATGTAAAATTGGTATTGTATAGTGTAAAATGTAAAATTGGTATTGTTTTAGTGTTAAAATGGTGTTGTAGAGTGTAAAAAAAGTGCTGTTTTAGTGTTTTTAAGAACAAAATTCGCAAAAGGACATAGGGCGAAATTCGTAGGTTTTCTTTTGATGAACGCCTCTTGTTATAACAAGCCAATTAATTCTATGTTCCCATTATTAATATTCGCGCTATGATTGTGGTCATTCGTAGCAATCGTGATAATCGTTTCCGAAACGTATCCGAACGTATCTGCACGTACCAGATCGTGGAATCAATCAGGACAATCCTATCGTAACGTATCTCACGACAGTGGAAACCTAGCATTATGGCTTTAAGGGGATTTTTTTCCTAATATTTCACTTAAACATATATTAAGACAAGAGCTAAATCTACCTATTGCAGGCCTTCATTTAGGCCTGAAATGTTATATTATTATAAACTATTAATTAGACATTTATTAACACGAAAAGGCCTCATTGATGATTAAATACCGGGGGGCAATTTGACTGAAATTTTCAGCATATTCTCTTTACATTCTCTAGTTTTAACGATTATAGTGAGAACTGTCAGCTCTTTATCTAATCTTCCATAATGGCCATTTAAACTATGTTCACGAATTTATTTTTTCCTCCCAGACAAGCGACAAATAGCGTACATGTGTATATTTTAAATGAGGTAACAGGGTATAACAGAGAATTGGGTAGTCCAGTATGGTGCAGGACAGCAACCACCCAGAAAACGCCACAAATATAATATAAGAATCGAAAACCGATTGTTGGAATTGAAAAGACGATTCATGCAAGAAGAATTTGGGGATAATGGAGTATGCGGATGGCGCATCTCACCCTTTGCACATAGACTAAACTGCATACAATGCATGTGCAATATGTATTTTATATAATATGTATTATAATATAATGTACAGCAAATTAAATATATATATTCCTTTGAACTGCGTTTCTTCATTTCGTCGACTGTGCTCAGATCCCTTTCACTAGCTGCCCATAAACAGACGTATTCAATATAAGATAATTCTCCTTACTTGAAAGTTCATACAGATCAAAAGTGGTGAAAGAACAACTCGATCAACATCAAAACACGACCTTGTCGTTCCAAAAACTTCGAAAGTGTCTTGTGGTGATAGAGCTTTTTCAGTGGTAGCACCCAACCGATGGAATAAATTCCCAACAAAATTAAAGGAATCCAGAACTTGAGTCCTTTAAATCATCTTTGAAGAACCCCTTATTTAATTGTGAATACCAAACGTGACAGTGTAGCTCAGTGCCATCAAGTAGAACATTTCAAGATGAAGAGGCGGGAACGCATATATTACGCGAAATAAGTGAAAAATAATTGTAGTAGAGTATAACATTGGTGTTGTATAGTTTAAAATTGGTGTAGTAAGGTGTATGAATGCTGTAAAGTATTACCTGTAGATCTGTTTCAATGTTTTCATCTTTGGTTTGTAATTTCATGCAAGCAGATCTATAAACAACACCCATATTTACAGGATGATCTAATATTCCTGAAAAAGTTAAAATATACTTTTTATAATATAACTTACAATAACATAAATCGTTTATAACAGGTGTTAATTTAGTTTTATCAAACACAATAAATGGTATTAATAATCGGAAGTTTATGGTCATGTCAATGTAAGTGTATGCTGGGAATTCTGAAATTCCGGAGACATAATTCTGCTTTAATTTATGTTAGGACTCGCAGAAATGGTTATTTGTTTACAAACCGAAGTACATGTAGATGGAATTAACCGCACTTTTCTTTTTCTAGCAGCACAGTAGACATATAATTCATTGAGAATGTTTGATAAACCACATATCAATATATAAAACAAACAACAAATAAATAAATAAATAATAAAATACTTACTAGTGATAATTGCTTTATTGATTTTGAAGGGGTCTTCGGGGGTTTGTTGTTTTCTCAGTAATAATTTCTGAAGTACTTTATTCAGATCCATTGCGTGTATAGTTGAACACACGCACAAAAATATACCAACTTTATACAATATATTACACCTCATGGTCATCTAGAAAAAAATAATAGATATACAAACAATAATACCAACATAATAGTATTTAAATATATTTTTGATAAACATATCAAATAATAAAATATTGTAATGTTGGAGTAGTCGACATCTTTACTTGGGACATTCACCTATCAGAGCTTGTCTTGGAGTATACAATATGATGTAATTTCTCGATATTATTAATTTTATAGAATAATATAAATAGTGAATGAAATGTGGTTTAGCGTCCTACTTTTCTGCTCCAGCTGAGTTAATTAAGACGAGCATTTATGTCATGCAGTGTACTATGAGGGAAATGTTGCCCAGACAGGAATTAAATTCCAACTGTGTCAAGGGTTTTTTGGGTATACGACGCAAGGCGTTTATACGGGACCTCGATTCTACTCCACTGACAAGAAGAAAAGTCGCCGGAAAACCCGAGGAAGTTTCTCCGTCAACACGCCAGCTGAAATGGGTTTGATTTAAACAGCATATTATGTAAAGTATTCCAGGGGCGAAATCGCTGTGAAAATGCTCCAAAATGGTTGATTCTGCACAGAGCATCAACCATTACAGCCACCGGCTAATAGTCAATATGGGAGAACTGTACATCAAAACACAGACAAAACAAAGGATTAAATTTTAACAACGAAATCTAGCCTAGAGAAAGCGTCTGTCATTTCGACTTTGAATAAAGGATACTATCGCAGAGAAGAGCTATACGCTGTTCAATTACGGAGACATACCCGTACGTGAATCGTTTGGTCATAACAAATCCCACTCTTACTGCATAGACAGAGACCTTCAAGGAGAATCAAGAATGTAGTCAGGTTTGGTTCTAAGTGTCTGCACATATTTAAATCGGAGAATTAGGATGGGTATAAACAACCTTAAAGGTAGGCTCTTAAGGCACCATGAAAAGGTCTGCTATAAGATCCTTAATGTAACGCCAAATTATACCTACATTTAAAACAGTGCCTTTATTAATTTTTATTCTAGAATAACGCCTTTCGGTATCCATGAGATTAACAAAATTTACTAACCTTTTGCCTTCTGGGTTGTAAGTCCGCTTCCACACAGCACACAAATGTCAACATATTAGAACAAGAGTCGAGTTTTATATATCCCTGCCTTGTTAGATTGAATTACATAATATTATATTGTCTCTTGATCGACACTGGGTATTAACATTTTAGTTAGCGGTAATTAATTAACAGTACTTGTTCATTACTAATTAACCATGGCGTATTTGAAATGTTTGATTCTGATTATTTATTTATTCAACAGTTATAACAGAAGACAGGTGGCTACCATACTGATTATTAAGGCAGGTGATATGACTAATAACATCTTATTACAACCCCTGGGCTCTTGAGTTATAATATATTTTATTTAATAGTGATGCGCTACCGTTTTTCAAATTTATATTTCCATTTCATCATTACAAATATACTTCATTTCTTCCTTTAGCATGTAATTTACCAAAATATATGCCGTGTGGGAGCACAAAAAGTGTCTTTGGCCCCGGTCGCTGAAACCCCTTGCTACACCGCTGAATACAGCTCATTAAACAAGTTAATCCCCTCTAATTTAGACATTGTGTAGCAATAATTGAAATCTGATATAAAGGGACATAATTATAGATACAGGTATATTAGTATTTTTTTTATAAGCAATATTTTTATTCAGATTTGTATCTGAATAGGGATTGGTGAACAAGCATAGCCTATATTAAACGGTAATTGGCTGATTGGGACCATGGCTGATTGGGACCTGGCTGACTGGGACCAGATTTGTGGCTGATTGGGCCAGATTCTTGGCTGACTAGGACCAGATTTATGGCCGATTAGGACCACGACAAGGCTGATTAGTATTTTTTTTATAAGCAATATTTTTATTCAGATTTGTATCTGAATAGGGATTGGTGAACAGGCATAGCCTATATTAAACGGTAATTGGCTGATTGGGACCATGGCTGATTGGGACCTGGCTGACTGGGACCAGATTTGTGGCTGATTGGGCCAGATTCTTGGCTGACTAGGACCAGATTTATGGCCGATTAGGACCACGACAAGGCTGATTCGGACCATTACTGCATATTTTTTGATAATAAGACAACTATGACAATAAATAGTGTAATTAGTCACAAATAATAGTGTAATTAGTGAATGACGGCTTCAATACAAATGAGCTAAATCACAGAGAAGATGCTTCACATTCTTGGCTGATTGGGACCAGATTCTTGGCTGATTCGGACCATGATCAGATCAATGACGAAAGTGTTTTAACTATGTTTGCATGACAATAAATACTACCCAGTATTATCAAACTGTAACCCAATATCAAAATAGCCTCATATCAGTATAATTACTGCAAAGAATGCGATATTTTGTAATGAGTGAAGTTGAAAAAATGACAGACAAATTGTTCTTTGTAGAATATTTTAATTAGTAAATATCATTAATTTATTTCATATAACGAGACATTTGGTGGTGAATCAATTCCTTTACAAACCAATATTTTATTAAAAAATATATACACATATTTAAAATTATTTCATATAAAAAGCGGTAATATACATATTTTATTAATACACATTTCAAAATATTTCATATAAAAATCGAAAATTGAAAAAAACAAACACATCTATTTCAAAACCTGTCCTATAACAATGTAATCATAAAAACAAAACAAAATAATTATTTACAAGCTATTATGATTTAGTTAACCGTTGGACCATATATATGCGCGGCTTTGTTCAATAGACGACTTGTGGTAATTTCATTTTCACAATATTTTCTCCAAATTTTCCATTATTTTTCCCTCTGTTTTTCTAGTTTTTGTTGTCTGGTATCTACGTAGCTTTCCCTCCTAATTTTAATTGGCTTGGTATTTCGTCCGCTTCCTGGTACAAAAGAGTATTCAACAAATAAAATGGTAAACATCCCTTCTTCGCCCTTTTGTTTAGTTTGTTATGCCACCCTTCTACATCATTATTTGTCCTAACACTTCTATCAAACACTGACCAGGATTCAACTGTCCATATTGTTGATTCTAATCAAATGTCCTTCGCATAATCAAAACAGTCTAGCAGCAGCAGCGGTTGATCTTCTGGCAATTTTCTCTTTAGTTGATCAAACGCGGGGGGTATGTCTGTTGCAGGTAACAAAGGGAGGGCAAAAACTTTTCTTAAGATCTTAAAAATGCCATCTTTCTGGTTATAGGCAGTCTGAAAAACAAAATTCGATATCAATAACCAAGACTTTAGGATAATATATAGCCCACTATGTTCTGAATTTTTGATATAATAATGATAATAATGTTGTTAGTTAGTTGTATTTTACGTCCGCTTCCACCGAGGTGATATCGCAGACAATGATAATAATAATTTATTAAACTTATATAGCCGCCAAAATCCAGCTGGAAACAGCTGCACTATGGCGCTTTTACAATGAGACAATTCTAAAAATCGAACCCTAATATATAGCACAATGCAGTTTGATTTTATGATTGTGTCCTTACCTGTAGTCCCTTTTCTTGCATTTTTCTCCACAATGCTTGTCCAAAGAGGAAGACGCAGCCATATATTTTCGGTTTGTCAAATACTGACCGCAGACCCTGTCAGAGACCAGATTCAAAATCTACAACAAACGTGCCAACTGACGGATGAGGTAGTAGTTCCCGAACAGCTTTAAACACCTGAAAAAAAATGATCATAAAGTTAAGTCCACTCGACACAAACTAGGTCATTTCTGGACTTAGCAGTGGGAGGGTACCGGAGGACCCGGAGAAAACACATATCAAATTATAGAAATGTAGTAGAAAATGTTTACCAGAGAGCACACATGTAGAAATAGTAAATGTATTCTTACTTTTTGTAATCCTTCTTTCTTTTCCCCGACATTAAAATAAAACAAAGGGGTAACTGTTTCATGTCATCACCAGATTTGACGAAGGCATGTATCGATAACAACTGGTAAAACGGGTCTTTTACAACCTAAAGTTTGAGGATAAGAAACTTGTTATTAAAGGAGCGAAAATGTCAATGGTAAAATGTTGGATATTAGAAGTCCATTTTTTCCCGGTAAGATCACAATTAGATGTTGATTCAAATTGACAAATAATTCGCGATTTCAATGTGGAAGACTGTGGATGATATTGAGTTAGGGACTTAGCTACTTTAAGATAACATATGAACGACACATTTTTCTTTTTAACAAATGCAGTATAATAGAGACTAACAAACCAAATACCTTAAAAGTGCCACCAATATACCAAGTTTTTGCTCTGTCTAATAAGTCTAACTGTTTTTCTGTCGCAAATACCAAATGACGTTTAGACCCAGAAAAATAGTCCATTCGTCAATTAACGACGGAAGAAAAGAAGTTTTGTATACCAAACGAAGATATGAAAACTACGGAGAAAAGGACAAGTTTTATTACTTACAATCCTTGATCTTCAATTGGTAATATTCTCTGAGCTCGTGATACATTAAAGGCATCAACTTCTATAGGTGTTTGATCTGGTTAATCAGTTGATACATTAAAGGCATCATCTTTTATAGGTGTTTGATCTGGTAAATCTGACAAGGGGGGGGGGGGGGGGGGGGGGTGAGAATCTGTAATGTAGGTACGATTATTAAATTTTAACAATAATTAAAATTAAAAACAAGGGGCATGGAATCTGTAATGGAACTAAAATATGATCATATTAACCACGTAGTCACGTAGTCGGATGGCCGAGACGTAAATGGATTGAAACCCGATCGCCATTTAATTTAAAAATGAATAATCCATTGTCAAGTACCGCTGCTACGATAATGCACAACCCATGCCACATCTTCAAACACTGTTAAGATCTATCAGAATAAATTAATTTGAATTAAATTTTCAATATATTATTTTTCATTGTCTATTTTTGAACTGTTATAGCATGAATGTTCAACTCTTTATCTAAATCTTACAAAATGCATGTTTAATAGCAAGGAATGTCGTACACGAGGTAGAGTCGTGCCTAGAGAACATTCGCACCACTGATATTTCCAAGGTTAATATATAAGTTCACATAGATAACAAATTGAAGGTTATATTAAAGAGGTGAT